TGACGCCAAACATGTTCCGTATATATAAATTCCAATATGATACATAGTTGATAAACGCCAGACACACTACCATATAACTATCCCAAGACTTAACCAACAGATTAAATCGGGTCATTAAGAATGATCAACTTAGTTATTCCTATTTTTACTTGAATGGTTGCTCTAAATGAGAATGTGTGCATAATGAAATTCTGAAATAGTCTAGTCATTCCTGTGCATAATTGTGTATCAACTTTTCAGTGACTATGTATTTCAAACGGTATATGGGTTAATAAAAAAAAAATATCCCACATAATATGAATCTGTAAAGGTTTATTTGTAGAAATGGTCTAATTCATGAAGATTGTTATATTATTCACATATATATATATTTTCTTATTTTGAACAGGACAAATTAAGGAGAAGATATCGCGATTTTGTCGTATTCCGCAGCCATGGAAACGTTATTACACTTGTACTGGATACAAAAATCATTAGAATAAAGTAGCGTAACCAATGGTAATATACAGTCTCTTGTATAATAATGTTAAAATGTCATTCAGTCGCTGCGCAGTAAACAATGCGTAAACAATGCATTCTACATGCGTGTTGTATGTCGCTATGGGTCCCATGCCGAACACGACGCGATGCGACGACTTGTAACCTGTTAAATAAATGTGACAAAAAACAAGGAAAGGTATTTTGCTCCTCTGGTTTCCGTCTTTGTCGAATATTGGTTCTGACATATCAAAACTATAATGGTTATCTTTTCTTATTTTTCCGGATCTAAATCATCCTTGGCACTAAATTAAATATACGTAATTGAAACACTTTGAGTCAGAGTGTAATTTACAAGATTGATTCAAAATGTGGATATGTAAACCCAGACTGTTAAGTCAGTGTTTCGTACTTGTACTTATACCACAAAAAAAAAATGTCAGCACCATCATATTGATTTCAAGCTCATTGAATTTTGAGAAAACAATAATCGCTAATGAGAATAATTTAATAAATTGAATTAATGAGACATAGTTTGCTGGTTCTTGTAATCGAGTTCGTGCAAGCATACCTGATGGAATGGTAATTCCACGTGTTCAGTCAGTCCATAATTCTAGTTGTGAACATCGATACAATGGCTGTTTATCCAGGTTATCTCTAACACTGACGAAGCGTTAAGCGTTCTTCTCTTCTGTTTGGCAAGCCTTAAACTTAAAACTATAAGACAAGCGGGACATTAATCTCGCGAAACAAGAACGCTGGCGTCTTGCATTTCCAGGTTATTTTTTTCAAATTCAAAAGTGTTTATTTTTATTCTGGAAGGTTTATATCCTGTAAAACAATATGGTAGAACTATATTAACAGCATACAGTTTATATACGTGGTGGGATTCTGAAAGTACAAACACAGGAGTAGAGAAGTCAATACAATTTTGGAGAGGTTTCATTACATTAGAGCATTACCACATGAATTGAAGGCAATATGTGAAAAGCGGCGAGCAAAGTTGAAAAATGTGTTTGGTAAGTCGAGATATTGCTCGGAAAATTGTTGAAAATTACTTTCAAAAAAATATTGTAAAATCTCACAAAAGTTTATTATTTTCAAGAATTGTCGCACAAGACAGTAAAAACTCCCAAAATTTGTATTAAAGTTCAATAAATAAAATACAAATGTCAAATTCGGGTGGCGAATTATTTTGGTGACACAGCCTCTTTTCACCGCAAATAGAAAAAAAAACAGAACTATCCTTACATATACAAATTTACATATACAACGAAAAAATGGAAATGTCATCAAAATATAACTTAGAAAAGTGTATTTAACTAAGTTTACATGATAGTTAATTCTAATCTCCATGCTTATTTCGTGTTAAATAAAAATGATAAATATACTGATAAATATAAAAACTAAAAGAAACACATGTCTCGCAATATCTACTACGACTTCAAAACAAGTTAGTGCGTTTTTTTTTCAGTTTTCGCAAACCTGAGATTGTTCACAACAACTCTGATCAGCAATGAACTGTTCTGAAATCGAAGTGCTTTTTGTTTTAAACTGTTTGTTGCCATAAAATAAATTGAGATGACAAATTAAACATAGAATAACAAATTAATTCCCCTCAGTTCATATGTTCTTGTGGGTTGTAACATACTATGACAACAGTATTTGCTCTACATGTATTCGTTATAGCATGGTCTATATTATGTTCACAAGAATCATATGTATATATCAGGAGTTTTATTATGAATATGGCCAATTTGTTTGTATGCTGCCTTCTACGTTTTATCAGTGTTAATGCTGTGTACTTTCGTTTACGTCTGACAAGTTCAGAATATGTGTCTGGGCGGATTCATACAATATGGATATAAATTGTGTATCAAAACATGGCGGCGCCTTTTTAAAGATGCTAGCTGGAATGTGCTGGGAACAACAAATCAGCATGTTATGGATATGAATGAGTATCATATGAGATTGGTTACATTTTTATGGGATGTTGCACTAAATGTTGATGACTATGTCGGTAAGCTAGTGCTATTTGAAGATGTAAGAAACAAAGAAGATTGTGTGTACTTTACCCTAATTTTACCATATGATTGGCGTGATGATGTTACTAGTGTTAAAATTAGGAGCATGGCTATCTGCATTAGCCAAATTATTACAGAAAGAATTATTCGGGGAACAGCTACCAGGTCAGTATGATGTGAGATTACGGGAAAAACGTGTTGATAAGCGTAGAAAGATTGTTTGGTTACATGGATAATCTGCTGAAATTTAAACTAAATATCCTTGTCAATCAGCTTTGAGAGTATAAATGCTCATAGCATGAAAACAGAGTATCTTACTTAATATTCATTCCCGCAAGTTCGCTGTCTATTTTAAATGGTTAAAGTTTCTTCAAAACCTTGACAGCAACCCGAAAGCAACAACAACTGGGACAGCACTAGCGTAGCGAACGAAAATTTGTTATAGGCGGTATTTTCAGTGACGTCATACAAGTAATATACAATGTGATATCCCCTTGGCGGGCAATATAGCATGTAATATTTATTTCTATTCAATGTCATGTGACTGAGTCTCAGCCAATCACAGCAACAACACTGAGATGTGATAAATGATGTATATTAAGGTAGAGATGCAGGTTCGTGGGCACTTGGGAATGAAATTTGTTTTTGTTTTTGTCTTGGCTATAGACTGTTAAACTTTTGTAGAATTGTGAATAGTGGAATATACTCAAAAAACGATTTTAAAATATAGATAACAGTGCAAACATTCTCTTTTGAATGCTTAGCAAGATATAGCAAGGCTGTACATAAATAATATAAAAGAAACATGGTGAAAAAGAGAAATGACAGGATCTCCATATTATGCACTATATTTAACTTTTTACAAAACGATAATACAATTAAATTTGGAACTGTTAGAGCCATTTTAATTATGAGCATTAGAAAATTTCTTACTGAGTAAATTGTTATGCAAATTAGCTATTATCTCAGCTTCTTTTTAGTGCACATCCCAGAAGTTAAAAAATAATAGCTCCTAGACGCTTTGACCTTTTGTTTTGAAATTTTCACAAATGATTGTGTTTATCTTCAAAACGCCGTCGGGGCATTGTTTTTGGTTGAACAGTGTTACAACAATCATACAGACAACTCGCCGGGGTGTTAATTTATGCATAAACTTGAAGTAGTGAAATTTCAGATAACTAGTAATCGACATATTGTTCCACTGGGCTGGGATTCCGACCTAAAGTCACGTTACTAAGTGACGTAATTTGAAAACATTCTTATATTCGTTTTCTGTAATCAAGTCTTCATTACGCTATGCCCATACATAGACTTGCATATTTGAGATGTTTCTGGCATTTCTCGCCGTTTCTGTACAAATTTATAACAAAAGAAGCGGTTTTTATTCGCACAACTTTCGAGAGTAAAAAAAAAAAACTTGCTCTAGGGCCACCAGCGTAAGCGCTGACGTCAGGTAACCAAGGGAAATAGAACAAGCAACGAAAAAGTGACGGACCAATGAGAATGTCGGAACCGTTACTAGTTACCGGCCTCTTGTGGCTTGGTATGCCAAGCACGAGAGACGGGAACCAGCCAATTTACGTCATTGAATTGCTCCGTCACGAGAGGGCGCGATTCATGAGAATACTGTATTCAACAACAACTGTGACGTTGACCTTCATAAACACACTCTAACTCGTGTAATTTCCTAAATGTTTCTTAGGTGACTGGGTCTTAATCTTAATTTCCTTATTTTTAGTATGATACAAATTTCAAATATATGAAAAGCAATTTGTAATGAGAACAGAAGAATGTGTTATGAACAGGAGCTTCGTGTTCGAGGAACTTGGTCTCACTTGACTGTTAGCCCTTACACGGAGACATACCAGATTCGTCCCAAATGAATACACATTGGTTCATTACAGATATTCCAGCTTTATTCACCCATTTCACTCATTCTCTCCCTCTTACAAATATTACAGACTGTCTATCTTAAAGGTCAAGTCTCTAAGGCCTTGCAGAATAAACAGCCAATCGCGGCAGTCGTTGGCACGATCATGTGATTACAAGGATTGTGTCTCGCAGTTAAAGCCTTGCAAAGATGCGACTTGTAAATACAATAATTAAACAATATATTTATCAAATTCCTGTGATATATGTTTATAATCTCCACCCTAAATATAACAATTGTTGATTCTAAACAATAGTCTAACGGCGTGTGATTGGAATGTGCGAATATGAAGTCGCTATCATAACAAAGGATTGAAACAATATTGGTAATTGTGTAATCACAACCTAAATCTGTTAATGGCATTGTTTGTGACATGATTGTTTTAGTCGAACAATAGATGTAATAGATAATGATCTCGATGCGGTCATATGACTGCTTGTTGAAGCTGAACATTGATATGATGCGATGAATAAAGATGAATAAAGTAATGATTATACATTCTCACATGGTGATTCATGGATCGTCTCGGTTAAAGTACATTTTTATAAGCCGTATTCAAACTTTAAACCTCATACTTGTATTTCAAACTCGCACACATATCTTCTTCGCTGGGTACAAAGCACATCATTCCATTCCGACAATCTTGTAACAACAACACAGTTATGTTGCTCGTTTACATCATTTGGTTCACCCTGCTTCCAACGGAAGTAGCTGACACTTTCACCATTTGTGTACTCGAATCCTGTGGAAGTCTGTAAAATATACGGAATATATTAATGTAGTATCAGAAGTCACAAAACAATTAGGTTGTAGAGATGTCAAAATAATTCACCACACTAACTACTGTAATCTACTTTGTTTACCATATTTTACATTTAGTTCGTCAAAAATCAGTGAAAATAATACAAATACACTTATAAGAGCTTTTAATATTTGTTCTGTACAGCAATTCCATCGATATTGTCACACAGTTATACAGATTGGTGTTTATTATTGTACAATTAAAACACAAACAAAAATACTTTGGGATAATAGATATGTTCACAGTATAACCTGGAAAAAGAGATTGCTAATTTATAAATGTTCATTATGTTCACAAAAGAATATAATAGCATAACCGTCGTTTGCTGATCGAGTCATACTACACCATTGTTATAAACCGCACCCGCCAGTCGTGATCATTCCTGTCACGCATTGACGTCATAGAAGCCCCCCATCGCTGGGAACGCGATTTATAGGAAGGTTGTAGTGATAAAATACCTACAAGTCTGATGCCTATAAAATAACGGCACGAATACAGTGGGTCGCAACCATCCGTAGATACATCAGCCATCGCTGTCCCCAAAAATTCTGCTTCTTCATCATCTGTAATGAATACCAAATGAGCACCCATAGTTTCGCAGTTATCATTCGCTTCTTGCCAGGTTGTAAGATTTACTTCTAGTTTATAACACGATACTACTGCACCATAGCATTTCAAATACCAACCTTCGGGGCATGTAACTAAAACGGAAAACGATACACTAATTGTGACAATGTATTTATGCAATAAACTACACATTAAAACAAGTGTTCAAAACGAATATGTGTTTTGGAACTACAAAATAATTTTTAAATACACAAATAACTATTCTATATTCAAAACAATATTACTTGTACATATATAAGGTTAAAATAAGTCACTCTCACCCTCCTCGCATGGCATTGATGGACCCGGTGCTGGTTCAGTTGGGGTACCACGGGAAGTAAGAACAGGGTCTGCGGGCGTTGTCACATGCGCTATTGGTGACGTAGTGACTTCAAATGAGTGGTCATCGCGTTCACGCCATCGTGTAGTGGAAACATCTATAGGTTTGATAACAATTAATTTATATATTAAATCCGTTCCCAGGCTTACGTGCCTTTCCTGTGTCTCGTATTCTCTCCACAATAACCATTAAGTAATTGTGTAATGTGTAATATTATTAGTTACTAAGTGTCGATACGAGTGTCCGAATGATCGATTTCTTACCTGTTGTATTTGTTACAGATGTTATATTTGGTTTGTCTGTGAATAAACAAATATACAATTTGTGAAAAAAATTCTATAAATATTGATGTCGAAAGTTGAAAATGGTGTCTATCATTGTCGATTCGTCGATGTCATGAAATGAATTACACTTCCGAGCCGTGACCTAATACATGTGTCATAAACTTACCCGAGTCGTTAGAGACTAAGATGCCAGTTGGTATAAAAACTACAAGCATAGTTGTGAAAACACTTAATGCTGCCGCTATCACACGTTTTCTTATATTATTTTTGACTTTTTCCTGAAATACAAGTATTTCGTCGTCAATGACAACACGCTGCATTGGAATAACATGTCCATTTATTATATTAAAATTTAATTAACACATAGAATAATACTTACAAATGTTTTCAGTAATGTACAACATAGTCATTATACTTACTCTTTCGGTTGGTACCACTCTGTTCTTCATCATTTCAACTCGGCTACCAATACCACACTAAGATATCCTAGTCTAGGCGACGTTGTTTGTTGTGGACGACGATTGCGATAGCAATGTACTCGTGCTTGCGGCGTTTTTCGAGTGTATATCAAAGCTCGCCACCATAGTTAATTGTGTGCACTTAATACTTTTTTTTAAAAGTGTTGGTGTTAATGGTAAATGTAATAATAATGTGAGACAATGGGTTGGATTAACGCCATTCATTGCGTTGTACTTACGTAAATATCAAATGAAAGGGCGGTCACTGGTATAATAGTTAACCGAAGGCGATGATTACATTTTTTGTGTACGATGACAGCAATATCTGAATCGTGCAGTGTAAAACGCATTAAAAAGGTAATCGAACCTGTGAATTGCACACAATGTTGTGTTGCGTGATTAAAAACGTTTTGTCAGTAGAAAGGCATACTAGTGAAAATGGCTAAGCGTTGAAAACACGTCGGTCTGGCACACACGGCAGAATTATTCACCTATATCTAATATAAAATTAACCTCAAGGTGGTGTTCAAAAATGTATTTACAATTAAGTTGAGAGAGAATGATAATTGTGCGGCACACACGGCCGAATTAGTCGCATATATCTAATATAAAATTAACCTCAAGGTGGTGTTCACAAATCTAACAAGTAACTACTCACAATTAAGTTGAGAAATAATTGTGCGGCATGGGATGCTCTTATTCTTACTGGACCCATGTAAATATGTTACGACTGTTTTCGGAACCTGCTTTTTAAATGTTCACAGAGAAGTGTTTCCATCCTATAAGTCACTACTACTTAGCACAAATGATTGGCCATTATTCCATGAAAAGGCATAATTATATTGCAAAACACAAACACATCCACATCTGTCACAGTCTTATGGATCATCGGTGTAAATTTTGAAAACATGTGGCACTAATGTAGTAGATTTGACGGGGGGAATGCCAGTAAGATTCATTCATTTTTTAAGGTTGAGAAAACGACTTGCTTGTTCTAATACAATATTTATAAATGTCCCAATTTATTGACCAGAATTATGTTTTCAAGAAAATAATTTTATACCAAAGGCTGCAATCTATTGTCAAACATTATTGTTCCACAACAATCACAGAATGTTTACAAATAAGCTTTAATTTGAATGCATCTGTACATATCTGTAGTACTATTAATTTGTTTAAAGACATTAGTTGCGTTTGAACACGTTTTTTTAGCAAAGGCTAAAGAACACTAAGTATGGGTTGAAAGCTGTTTTTAAGACTCGGTCCAGAACCTGAACACGGCCTAACGAGGTATGTGCGAACGCTTAGATCGGGGCTAACCGCCCAAAACTCCGTTGTATTCAACGTCCATTTGGAAGAAAATACTATTATATTCATGACTATTCACTTCAGTATGCCATTTCCGACACGACAATCTACGCGAACACATCTCGGGACATTGTTCTCGCGAGAAAAAATAACTAACGATGACGCACTGTATTACTTCTTGTCATTCTGCAGTGTCACTTTCTGGATCCGATTTAGCAACGTTTTATAACCGTATAACTACCATGTATACCTTCCTGGTTAGTGTACTGAATAATCATTGTTAAAATGACTAAAGAGTAAGACTTTCATATTCTTAACATGTTTGGGGGAGTTTCTTAGCATGTGCAAACCGTTGCTTACATCCCGTGCGTGAACGCAATTGGGTATAGCCGATATGCAAATATATGAGATTAGCTTAAATCTTATCCAGCATGTTAACAATGATGAACAAACAACCCAATCACTGCCAAGTCAGCTAGCTACACAAATGGAGTTCTATGCTATAGACAACCGCAAAAAAATAACACCGGGTATGTTCACATATATGTTAATAATAGAGAAAATAACAAAGTTTTAAATGAAGCAAAGCATCATGGTTATACAACTTCCATTCAGCAATATCTTCTACAATTTATAGCACCGATAATGCAATGTACACGACTTCATTCACAATTCTGATTAAGTAATTCTGTCAACGCAAAATGTTATAGTTTTGGGTGTAGTTTATGAATGAATTTAACTATCTGTGACAAATAAAATAGCGTATTTAGTTTAAGTTTGAGCTTAACTCCAAGTAGAGAGACAATGGATTTTACATTTTGCTTCGTTTTGGAAATAGATCTCTATTGTGTGACTGTCATCTGGTACATATACATAAACACCTTGCCCGTACGTGTGTAAAATTGTGTGTTTCGGTAGAAATGGACATTTGTTGTGCACTGGTTCAGTAGTTGTTTGGTAAAATGCTGGATATTGTATTCAATATTTCAAACACCAATTATACACTGTCCCAACTGTATTAGGATTAGCTATAATGAGCTCTTCTCAAAAATAATCACAATGTTGTTGTATATTGCCCTTTATGTTTTATCAGTGTCCATGATGTGTACTTTCGATTTTGTTTTGCGGATAGGTGCGCCGGCTATTCAAATAGTTTTCCCTCTGATAATCTCCGAGTTTATCAGAGGGCAAGTTTGCTATATAATGGATATAATATGAGGATTGACTGTATTGCAATATTAGGCATGAGCCGCTTGCTTTTATTACTTTTCACTTTGTCTTGGCGGATTGATACATTTTGGCAGATGAAGTGTGTATCAAATCAGTATAATTTTCTTATTTGGTTCTGAACCACTTTTATGTTTTCTTTTACTCGTTCCATGTGGAGTTATCTATTGTCCCTGTCGTTTTAACATTTATTAGTGCTTTAGCGTACAACAAGATCACTTATTGTGACATATCGACTTTGAACAAGTGGCTCTATAACATAACTCGACTGTTCTGTTATTTAGTCTTACTTTAATTGCACAGGGCATGCATTTTCTAGAATTTATTCAATCTTTCCTCACGTCGTCCGTTTTTTACGCTGGTATCAATGCTAAATAAACATTGTTTTCAACAAAGCTATTTATCGCATTTTTTGTTATACTGACACTGTTATATTAAATTGATATAACATCAATGTACACGAATATCGCATCTGATTATATATATATATATATATATATATATATAGGAAGGTAGTCGATTATTCCAGGTGAGAGTGCTCGATACTAAACTATGAGTTTGTAGAGCAGATTACATACGTGGACAGAGAAATTAAGGCACGACTACATGAGTAAAGTTCACTCTACAGTACTGTTTCGTAAGGTAGATGGAGTACCTCACTCATCAGGAGTTAAGACTACCGAAACAGACTATGTTATAAGCGCTACAGATTTGCATAACAATGGAGTGTGTTTACGATATTTCAGCCGTAACACCATCAAATTGAGCTACAGTTGTACGAATAACCATGGAACTATAAGTTCCATGGAATAACGTACAAAGCAAATAATCTGTAATCAAAACAAATGAATTTAAAACCCGTACAGAAACCACACTGCATCGCTACGCAACCAATCATTGAGAAACGCAACAGAGCTCAGTAAATACGCTTGGTCATTAAAAGACAATAACATCGATTACGACATCAAATGGAGTGTTATCGCGTGCTGCACCATACAATACTTCAAGCAAACGTTGCAACTTATGTATTAGAGAGAAATATATTATATTTTTCCAACCACATTACTGTAGTTTAAATAAAAGAAATGAGTTGTTTTCTTCCTGTAGACACAGAGCCAAATCTAGTTTTAATATCGTAAACACACTCCATTGTTGTGCAAATCTGTAACGCTTATAAAGTAGTCTGTTTCGGTAGTTTATTTAATAAAGTCTTAACTCCTGATGAGTGAGGTACTCCATGCACCTTACGAAACAGTACTGTAGAGTCAACTTTACTCATGTAGTCGTGTCTTAATTTCTCTGTCCACGTACGTATGTATGTGTGTATATATATATATATCTATATATATCTCTATCTATCTATCTATCTATCTATCTATCTATCTATCTATCTATCTCTATATATATCTATATCTGTTCTATTTTTACAGAAGAACCTTCCCAAATAAAAGAAATTCTAAAATTTAAAAATATAAGAGGTAGTCACTAAACCATGTACTTTCACACTCAAGCAAGAGAATAGACATGTTGGTGAACTAGCCTTGCACTGTGAGTGTTTTATTGTTTACACTCTGTAAAATACCATTTTTTTTTCACAAATAAAAAAATTAAAAAAAAAGAACTGCAGACCACACTTCTTTATATTTTTGAGTGGGCCAGCCATGTTTCCACATACAAAAATACACATGATATTTCTATTTAATTTATTTTATTTAAAAAAAAATATTTTAGAAGCATAACAATACAACGACTAGATTTGGTGTCACAGTTTGCTCCCAATTCATACTGGAATATTGCCAGCAATAATTAATTAGGCTTGTTCAGAAAACCATTTATTCCCAACATCATATTCAATGGCTAGTTCTCAGGATCTACAACAGTAAATAAACAGAAATCATTTTGATGCGTGGTTTTTAGACGACACTGCCATATTCAACACCGCCATATCGAATTTGGATTTGGACCATACCATTTCAATGACTCAACAAACAATAAACACATCTTCCACCCACCACACAAATTTTAGCCACAATTGAACAACCAAGAAAGCAACAAATATCAGACTGCATCTTGAAAACAACGAGATACCACATTACAACCAGTCATTACAAACATGAAATCCTCCACCCCTCCCAGTACACCTTACAGCATCAATGGTTCCTATACTAATTTGCATCTATGTACAAGCTTAGCCAATAGATGCACCTGACTCGTCAAACTTTTGACCAACCACTCATTCTAAATATTGTTGAGTGAGGGCGCTATTTACTAATGAGGAATCTTTTAAACGAATTAAACAGATCTAATATTACCAGCAGTGAGTATCTAGTT